TTTAACATCCTTACTATATAGATGATGTGATTTTAGTTTTATACTGTACAGTATTGCTGGATAAATTTGTCTTATATGTGGAAATCCATGCTTATGTCTAATCTATTGTGCACTCTTCCAGACACTAAACTAACATCTGAGCCTTTGCATTTAACTGCACTGAAATTAAGTAATCCAAAACCATCCTTAGTTTTTTTTTTTATGGCAATTTTAGCCAAGTTCTACTTGTCTCAGTCTTCTTGATTGAGGGAGTACAAATGTGCTAAAACTTCTCTCTCTATGGGAAAAAAAAACTTTTCCTGTGGGACAACAGTGTGACATCACTCTGCATCCACAACCCCACCCACTCCCAGCCTGGGCGCTGTGGCCCCGGCCTGGCTGACCCTCTTTTTCCCTCCCCAGCAGCCCGGTGAGAGCCCTAGCTGCCACGGCTGGCTTGGCCCCAGCCCTCCTCCAGCAGCCAGAGGGAGTCTAAGAGACCATGGCCTGCGAGAAGCTGGGACTGGCTGCAGCCAGGGGGAGAGGGCGAGAGGCTGGGACAGACATGGCCCCAGCCCTCCACTCCCTGGTGACTGGGTGGGAGAGAGAGCTGGACCTGTCTGCCCTCAGAGATGGGGGTTGACAAGTGTAGCAAGCAGCGGGCACAGCCATAGTCTGCTTTAAAAACAATATATTTTTTTTACTTCATGAGAAATTTAATTGTCTGATTCTGATTCTGATACTTAGGCAATTTAAAGCCCCTTTAATATTTTTAATTAACTGTAATGGATAAATTATTAATTACTCCATCTTTTTTCCCTAGAAATTGTCTTTGTTTTCTGGTTTCTTGTTCTCTTTGAGATGAGAGAATTTCCTATAATCTGATTATAGAGATGAAAAAGACTGGTCTGTTGCTTTTTTTCTCTTCTCTACATTCACTTGGCATAGAGTTTCCTGATGATTCCCTTGGATTATCTATCTGCTGGATCCTTTAAGCTTTTCTGCTGTATTGCTTATTATTGGTGCCATTGCTTTCATTTTACTTAATTAGCTTTAGTTCTTGTGATACCGCTGTAGATTATATCTTGATCTGTTCTTCAAATACTTAGGGTTTCATACTTTGTTTCCAGACTCTCTTCTGACAATGTAATACCCTTTAAAATGTGTCTTTTCCCAGCTGACAGCAGAAGCAGAATACAAGACAGTTAATTAAAAGTACTATATTATCAATCCTGGGAGCCTAAGGCACTTGACATCCAGGGGGAATGTATCTGCTGTATGATAGTTACTACTGCTCAGTCATTTTAGATATGACATTATGATCAATAAGTAATGTTTCTAGTTCTCTGATATTGTGGTGGGCACTCTTGATTTACCTGATAAACTTGTGAGTGTAGAGTGTCCTTTATCAGATGGTGAATGGCATATAGTATCCCCATACAATTGTTACCATAATTCTAGACACTACGGCTATGTCTACATTGGCACCCTTTTCCGGAGGGATGCTAATGAGACAAGTCGGAATTGCAAATGCCGCGGGGGATTTAAATATCCCCCGCAGCATTTACATGAACATGGCTGCCGCTTTTTTCCGGCTCAGGGCTTTGCCGGAGAAAAGCGCCAGTCTAGACGGGATCTTTCGGAAAATAAAGCCTTTTCCGGAAGATCCCTTATTCCTCTTAAAATCAGGAATAAGGGATCTTCCGGAAAAGGCTTTATTTTCCGAAAGATCCCGTCTAGACTGGCGCTTTTCTCCGGCAAAGCCCTGAGCCGGAAAAAAGCGGCAGCCATGTTCATGTAAATGCTGCGGGGGATATTTAAATCCCCCGCGGCATTTGCAATTCCGACTTGTCTCATTAGCATCCCTCCGGAAAAGGGTGCCAATGTAGACATAGCCGTAGTGTCTAGAATTATGGTAATGTTGAAGTTTACCCTGTCTGCTTTCGGAGTCTTTGTACAGGTATCCTGTAAAGTGTGTAGATTCTGATCAGCCTTTTATTCTTTTCTGTCCTTTTATAAGAGTTAATGAATTCTCTTTTTGTTATCTTCAGTCTAAGCTGTCTTTGCATTGGTAACCAGTTTCTCTGTTTGTTTTTCTGAGACTTAATATCTTCCTATCCATTTTGCTGTATTGCTTTCTGCCCCACTGAATCTCTCCATTACTAGATCTGGGCAAGCCATACGTTTTTGATGGTAGTCAAACTCAAATAAAGCCAGTGACCTGGTTCCAACCTATAAGGCAGAACATTAGCTAAAATAATTGGAATTTACACTATGTAATATGAAAAATGTGTCACGTCATAATGACAACAAGGCAGAACTGCCTTAACAGTTCTTTTGGCTGCTTCTCATTCATGGATCCAGAATTGAGTCAAGCTAAGATTTATTTTGGCTTTTCCACTTCTAGCTTAAACCTTTCCTTTCATCCCCTAATCCAAGTCCCATTCAAATCAGTGGGACTCTTTCAGTTGACCTTGGGAGCTGGAACAGACCTGTGGTGCATTAAAACATTGATTGTCATCAAGATGCAGAAATTAAGATCTTTCCTGTCTCTGATATCCATCACCACTTGGCATTTGCTCTTTTTCCCTCATGCTTTGCATTTGCTGCTCACTCTGCCGTCATTGATTCTGTCTTGGCTTCTGCAGCTTGCATTTTCCTGTGCCTTACTCGACCACTTTCACTTGCAAATTGTTTCCTTAAAGTGTGTGTGTGTTGTGGAAGTGTACAATTTGCTGAGTAAATGTGACTATTACATAGCGTTAGCAATGAATTACCTAATGGGGGTCCTATAACCTGCCAAAAGGAGGATATGATGCATAATATAATATAATCTACAAGACAAGACCCCAGAAGGCTAATACAGAAAGTTCCAGGATATTTCTATAATTGTTCTCTACACTCAGATGTATTTAACGGTCTAAACAAAAACAAAATTTATGAGTAAGGAAGAACAACAGATAAAATTTATGTTTATATCCTGGATTTAGTTGCATGCTTGATGTTAAGATGATTAGTGCTTAGTTGAGGGTGCGTTTGGTAGTAATAGATTTTTTTTGCTCAGGGTGTTCAATAACAAGGTCAATTTTATTGAGAGGATGGGGTAATAAACTTAAATCACTGATGAACACATGATGCACATGTGTTTGAAATCATTTAACTATGTTGTAACAACCCTAGATATTAATAACCTTTCTTATCTGCGGATCTTTCCTAGAAATTGATTTTAAAAAATAGAACTGCAAAGAATTTCAGAAATGTTTATTTGCAGGCTGAGCAAATGTTTTTAACTGTCAGCCACTGGGCACTCAATCTGGGATCTGAAAGTCTGGGTTCTTAACTGACTTGTGCAACATCATGAGTAAAAGCCATGGCAGGTCAAATTCTGCTCTTAGACACATCCTCACTGTTGCACATGTCTAAGTGAAGGCAGAGTCTGGTCCTGCAATTGGAAACCTAGTCAGCAATTTGATTGATTGATCCAGCTCCCTCTCCAAGGGTGTGTCTAGACTACATGGCTCCGTCGACGGAGCCATGTAGATGAGTTCACTAGACATAGCAAAATGAAGCGGCGATTTAAATAATTGCCACTTCATTTACATCAAAATGGCTGTCGCGCTGTGCCGATCAGCTGATTGTCGGCACAGCGCGGTAGTTTAGATGGAGATCAGCTGACCCCAGCATCCTTTGTCATCAGATCCTTTATGCCTTGTTAAATGAGGCTTACAGGATCTGATGACAAAGGGTTCTGGGGTCGGCTGATCCCTGTCTAGACTACTGCGCTGTACCAACAATCAGCTGATCTGCACAGTGCAGCGGCCATTTTGATTTAAATGAAACAGCGATTATTTAAATCACCGCTTAATTTCCCTTTGCCAAGTACACTCATCTACATAGCTCCGTCGACGGAGCCATGTAGTCTAGAAACACCCCGAGTGTTTTTGTCCATCTCAGTTAAAGAAATAAAGAAGAGAGCAGACCAGATGTCATCAGTGCTGCAAAAGTTCTTGAGTCTAGAGATGTTAAATTTAGATAAATCAGCTAATCAAATAGTCGATGCAATTTGTATCAGCTATTCAGTTAGTCGATAAGGGGCCTCCGCCTTTGAAGTGTAACAGCAGCCCCAGGGCTGTTGCTACACTTCAAAGGCGAAAGCACTGCAGGGAGCACGGGGCCAGCAGGGGACTCAAGCAGTCCCCTGAAGATCCCATGCGTCCTGGTGTTTCAAAGCGGCAGCGCTGCATGGAGCTTGGGGGCAGCTGTGGACTCTGAATCCCCAGCTGACTCTGGTCTCCCATGTGGTGCTGCTGCTTTGAAATGCCTGGGGCCAGCTGGGGACTCCCCAGTAGGCCCCGCGCTGCATGTGGTGTTTCAAAGTGGCAGACCCTGGGCTCCACACGGCACTGCCACTTTCAAACACCACTTGCAGTCTGGGGCCAGCTGGGGACTTTCAAAGTGGCAGCACCACATGGAGCCCAGGGTACCACGTGGCACTACTGCTTTGAAGCATCCTCACCTCTTCCTCTCCCCTGCTCGCTGCCTCTTTCTGATAGAGGCAGCAGGGGGGAGAGGAGTGACTAGTCGACTATCCAATAATCATTTGCTCATTGGATAGTTGACCAATCGTTCACATAACTAGTTGAGTCTATACCGCTAATGGATAAATATTATTAATATACTTGTTGCTGTAGTAAGCACATACGACTGAATGCAGACAGGGAACAGATCTGTTCAGTGAGTACTGTTTTTGTATGGACTTATTTAAAAATAGAATAATGCTAAGTTCAAAGTTGTTAATGTGGCATTCAGGATCACCATAGTTAAAGGACAAAATTCTGAAAAACATTAATATTAGAATATGTACAATTCCTTCAACCTTAGCTCATCTCTGTCTTATCCATTTACAAGAATTTAAACCATTAAAAAAAACATTAAATAACAAGACTAAATTACCGTCTTATCCATAGTCTAGAATCTTGATAATAAAAGAGTTTTAAGTTGTTGGTGTCTTCTATTTATAGGGGGAAGAGTAAAAACATGGAAGCGGAGATGGTTTATTCTGACAGATAATTGCCTGTATTATTTTGAATACACAACAGTAAGTATCTATTGCTGTGAACCTGTGTCTGGAATTCAAAAGTGTAACTGAAAGGTAATGTGCACTCTTCCTCTCTTTTAGGACAAAGAACCTAGAGGAATTATTCCTTTAGAAAATCTGAGTATAAGAGAAGTTGAAGATCCTAGAAAACCAGTAAGATTTGTTTATCCTTTTTAATTAGTATAGTAAATGAGTTATTTTTGTAACAGCCAGGATCTGCAGGTTTAGTGTACATGCAGATCTTCAGTTCTTCATTGAATAAAGCTTTGGTTGTTTCTTTATCTTTAGAACTGCTTTGAGCTCTATAACCCAAGCCATAAAGGTCAAGTAATTAAAGCCTGTAAAACTGAAGCTGATGGTAGAGTGGTAGAAGGCAACCATGTTGTATACAGGATATCTGCGCCCACCCCTGAAGAGAAGGAAGAGTGGATCAAATCTATTAAGTGAGTCCAAAGTCTTAAATGTATTTCAAAAGTCCTCAAGTTTAAGTTGTATGTAAATTCCTTCCCAAATAAAGAATTCAAGAATGTGTGCTGCCCTAAGGAACATGCCTTAAAGAACTCTTTAAGCTGTAGCCATGGCAAGGACGTTTCCTGAGGATGAATGACTAGTCGGAAGAAGGTGCTAGGGCTAGATATGTGAAGCCAAATGAAGCACTCTGGTACATTGATCGAGCTCCTATGAACAGAAAAATCTCAAAAATATGAGAACGTTCTTGTCTCTTTAGCCACTAACATAGCAGTATGTTCCTGTGCTAACTACCTGAAAATCACATTGCTGATTTTTGTAAAGGATGCGGTTGCCTACTAACATATTACAGCTCTGGGTCTCTATACAAGTAAAGGTAAACAAAATGTGTTTGAGTAATGTATATTTTATAAACTTAACTGGTATCTCCTCCTCTTCCCACTAGAGCAAGTATCAGCAGGGATCCCTTTTATGATATGCTGGCAACAAGAAAGAGAAGAATTGCTAATAAAAAATAGTATTTATCATCGGGGCACTTATGGACCTGCACTAGCTAATGTACAAATGGATTAAAGTCAAATGATAAGGTAAAAGTAAAGTAAAAGTGAAGCAAGCTGAATGAAGACCATTATTAAAAATATATACATTTGCTTACATCATATCTCTTTGCGAGATCATCCAAGGAGGTTATTATTTTGTATATAATACTGCAGCAAAATTCCCAAGGGATATTTGCAAGGAATGACTGTAATGGAATTTCATAACACTAACTGAATACACAGAAGCCTTATGTGCATTTTTTGTTGCAATTTCACTCTTCTGGGGAGAAAAACTTTCAGGATAACAAACATTGTCCTGCCTGTTCCTTCAGCATATTGTCCATGACAGGAGCTGTTGTCATAAGGACTTTGATACACTAACACCTCACTGTAATATGACTCAAACTGGTGTACAGGGATACTCAGAACTTTTTTCTTTATGCAAAAACAAACAAACCAGTCCTTGTTTTGAAAACCCTATTGTTAGCAATGCAGAGAAGTTTTAATTCACTTTGTGGAAAATGAATGGCTAATGTGACGAGCTTTTATATAGAATTTTCCCCAACAGGTAAATAGAAATACCTTTAAAATATGCTTTTTCGTATTACACTGGTATCTATAGTTAACTCCTTGGCCCAAGCAGCACGATGTGCACTGGAAATATGCAACCTTGAGGACGGATACAGTTTATCTTTAGCAAGCTAGACTTGTTGCTAAATGCTTATGCCCTTAATAAGCAGCAGAAAAGGATTTGCATTATTACTGAGGCTCTCTATATTTTGTATGGGTAAAATGCTCCAGTCACACATTTTCTTTAAAGAAAGGGCAGTGTTAAATTATCTCCTTATTTGTGGGTGTAGACAAAGGAAAATCAGGAGGATTGCTTGGTGAGTAAAGAGCAGAATTTGGCGCTTGGTTAACAAAAACTTTGAATAAAGCAAACTGAATTTGTTTGCTTTATTTTTAAATGTGACTTTTCACATTTATGCTTCAGTGACTTAAAATAGGGAGAAGAGGATACAAACCCGAATTGTTTAAATATTTGATCTCATGCCATCAACTGTACTAAAATACTTACCTAATGTAACCATATACTTTCAAATATCTTGATAGCAGGTTGAATGTCTTTTGTGAGATTCCATTAGAATCTATTAGATTCTGTTCTTCATAATCTATTTTCTAAGACATGCAATCTTATTATCTAGCTTGTTTCATTGAAACGTTTTCTAAATTATACAAAAATGCTTAATTTTACAGTGTATTTTTTTTTACTCATCCTGTGTTCATGCTCTTATAACATTGCTTATATTGTGTCAACCTAAGCCTTTAAAGCATCCATATCTGGACCAAAAACTTTGATTGCTCTGTAGGGAATTATTCTGCAGGAGAGGATCACAGATAAGGTTGCCTATAAATCATCTATATCTTCAATTAAAGGCAAGGAAAGTGTGCAAAGCTTTCATCTTATTAACTTGGCTTATGCTGTGTAGAACCTAAGATCTGCATATGAAGTGTCTGTTTTCAGATGAGCGGAGAGAAAAGAATGGAGTGGAAGCCCACACATTGTAAATTCTTCTGTAGTTGTCATCTCTTTAAAGAAGCATTAAAATTAATGCTCAGTTATGACATCTTTGAAAGTGGGGATGTGATGGGTGGCATCTCCAAACCATGGAGTTGGGAATTCAAGGCCAATTGTGGACTCTGTGTATAATTGGAAATTTAAAAATTAAGTGCTTAATTGCACAACTCCCAAACCACAGCCTATATCCCTTGCCTAGGTAGGTTGTGGAATCTCCATCACTGGAGATTGTCTAAGAATATTTAAGAGCAGGTTAGACAGACACCTGTCAGGAATGATCTAGACAGTGCTTGGTCTTGCTGTGAGGGCAGGGGACTGGACTCGATAATCTCTCGAGGACCTTCCAGCTCTAGTATTCTATGATTCCTTCTCTTGGACCCCCTAAATTTAAAATTGTGTCTCTTAAGATAGAAAGATATGTTGGTAAGGACACTTGTCATTTGTAATATAAATGACACATCTAGAATTAGGGTTGTATTAATGTGTAAAACTGTAAAGAAATAATTTTAATAATTAAATAAGTCTAGAAGCTTGCAAAAGCATTGATGGGCCACAAACACTTTCAGTACCAGTCCTTACATCCCTGAAAAACACACAGCCATTTCAAAACAGTCTTCTTAATGTCAAGAATATGTGTCTGTAAGCATAAAGGAAATGCCTTAAGAGCTGTGATACTGTTTGAAACTTTTCATACCCTGTATGTACATGTAACAGTTGGAATGGTATGTAACGATACATTTTAGTAGAAAATGCATACTATTCCCTTAGCATTTAAAAAAGGAGTCATTTTAAAGCAGCAGCAACTTGCTAAATGAAAGCAAGATTAAATATGGTGCTCAGTATAATCACCAACGGTGCCAGTAGCATTCTTGTCTAAGAATATTTTATTTCAGATGTTCTCTGTAGCAGTATTAGCAGGAATTGAAATGGAGCCAAAATTTCCACTGGTCTTAAGGCCTGTAAAGAACTGATTTGCAAGCAAATGGCTTGTGTAAATTTTGGCCAGATTAGGTACTATCCATGAGGGAATGAAAAGCCCTCTCTCATGTGGGTTTAAGATTAGGATGATGTTAAAGCACCATTTGTTTTGGCTGGTCCAACCTCAGAAAAAGCAATCTAATTGCATTTGACTTCCTCCAACCTGTAGTACTGAACAATCTCCCTATTTTTCCTGTCATAGCAGGGTGGTCATTTTTATACTACCCATTAAGCAATGTAGGGACAGTAGGAAGAGATCCTGGCAAAAAACTGCTGCTTCTGCTACTTTTCTGGCCCCTGCCAGCATCCATAACTTTCATAGCTGTAGCTCACTAATAATTTCAACTTCAGTTAGCGTCATCTAGGGAAGGAAGTGTATATAATACTTAAGATCAGCTGGACTGACTTAAAAACTACATATTCTGAAAAAACTAGTCACTTAACATTCTGAAGCATATGGTACAAAACTGAACCTTTTTAAAAACTGAGCATTTATAATGCTTCCTATGTAAAACAATGCATATTTTAAAAATATCTATCTAGATATGCTTGCTGGAAAAGTTAGGTCTGTTGTAGACGAGAAGCTACAAATTATGGTTTACCAGTTTTTTCTATATTTTCTTGGAAAGCATTTCTATTTACAGTTCAGTATAAAGTTAATGTAAATACTGTACAGCTGTGTATTGATTTGCGTTTACTCATTGTACACACTTTGCATGATAATTATGTATCAATTCAATTAAATTTGAGGTAATATTATGGCTGAGTACCTCCATTGCAAATATTAATGGGCTCGTTTACCAGTAAGACATGTTTAAACTATGGTGAAATTTAATTTTGAAAAATAAAATATCAAGTAAAACTAGACAGCTGTCCAGCTCTTTTCATTTAATAAGGGTAAAAAAGAGTAAGAGATCCACCAGCGCAAAATTTTGAGAGAGTAAGATTTAGCTTACTCCAAAAGTAAGTACTGCCTGAGTGGCTATCCTCCATCATAAAGCTACTCAATAGTGATTCTTTAAAATTACTCAAGTTTTGCTCATTCTGCCTTACAAGCCAGAAATTTTCTTTCATTATATTAACATCTGACATATTATTCAGTAAACCACTTAAGCACACAAATGCTAGCCTGAAGGCAGAGTAATAACTGGGGCTTGCTCATTTGATAGGGTGCAGAGATGAATCACTCTCTCTTTTCCTTTAATCAAATAAGAGGCACAGAAAAGGAAAATGTAGGTGTATCCAAAGCAAGAGTAAAGTTCTAAATACTTTTCAGACATGGCAATGCATGAGATGAGTTACAGCCTCCTTGATCTCAAAGTTGTCGGCCTTTAACTAGAAAGGTAGAGTACATATTAAAGATGTAATATCTCCTTCACCTATGTGTTTATATTAAACTCAAATTCATGCAAAGCAAACTTTAGTCTCAACAAAAATCACTTTCTTCCATCAGGTGTCAGTTGCTTAATGCCTGTTTATACCTACTAATTCTCTGCTCATCCAGAATCTTTCAGGAAAAGCAGGTCTATTTTTTACATGAACAGAGTAAGACTGCTCAATTTTTCTCTGCAAGCTATGTTTGGGACCTGGTCAAAGGCAAATTTATAGTTTATTAAATATCTCAAATATGCTATTTAAATATTTTTCAAAGGTTCTCGAATGTAAAACTTCATCCTAGATTAGTGATGTTGAAAAACTAAAATTCCAGCCTTTTCTGCCTAAACAAGTAACTGAATTTACAGCAAACATAAAAGAGAAGAGTGATGAGCACAGTAGTTGTTCCTGACAAGGAGAGGCCCTGTCCTAAGGCAAAGGTCCTTAGTGGAGAAGAGTGGAGACCAAAACCACACAGCTACAACTTTACTTTCTCACGACTGTGCTGTTACTTCATGTAACTACATGACCTGTTGACACAGGGAAAGTGCAGGTAGGCAAAAGTGTATTCCTGACAAGCATGTGGACAAAGGGGATCCAGTGGATATAGCAGATTTCCAGAAAGCCTCATCAAAGGCTCTTAAGCATAAGTAAGCCATCATGGGATAAAAGAGGGAAGACCCTCTCATGGATTGAGAACAGGTTAAAAAATAAGAAACAAAGGATAGGAATACTTTCTTTTTCAGAATGGAGAGAGAAAAATAGTGGTGCCTCCTAGGTGTCCAGTCTTACTCAGCATTTCTTTAATGATCTGGAAAAAAGGTAAATAGTGAGGTGGCAAAATTTGCAGTTGATACAAAACTGCTCAAGATAGTTAAGTCCAAAGCAGTTTGTGAAGAGCTTCAAAAGATTCTCACAAAACAAGGTGACTGGGCAACAAAATAAATGGCAGATAATTTTAATTAATGCATATTGGACAACAATCCCAACTATATGTATAAACTGTTACCACTCAGATCTTGAAGTCACAGGGGCTAGTTAATTGAAATCCTCCACTCAATGTGCAGCAGCAAAAAAGCAAATAATGTTAGAAATCATTAGAGATATTCTCTATCCTATTGCTTCTATATAAATCCATGGTGCACTCACATCTTGAATACTGTGTGGTCACTTCATCTAAAAAAAAAAAAGGTATCTTGGCAGTGGAAAAGGAAGCAAAAGGAAGTTGTTCTTCACACAAGGCATAGTCAGCTTGTGGAGCCCCTTGGCAGAGGATGTTGTGAAGGCCTAGACTTTAACAGGGTTTAAAAAAAAAAAAGTTGGCTAGCGTCATGGAGGATAAGTCCAGCAATAGATCTTAGCTAGAATGGTGGGAATGGAGCACTTGATTACCTGTTCTGTTCATTCCCTCTGAGGTACCTGATATTGGCCACTATCAGAAGACAGGATACTGGGCTAGAAGGACCTTTGGTTTGACCTCCTTATGGTCTTAAGCTCTGTCTTAAGGCCTTCCATGAAGGAGGAGGAGAGGATAAATTTGGTGGAAAATGGAAGAATTCATCCCAGCCCTGTAACATTAGTCAATCATTTAAAGACAAAGTATAGTTGAGCATTGACCACACCCCTTTTGTCACTGACATGTAAGGCAGACATGCAATTAAGCTTTTCAGCCCTTCGGTGCACAGTTCTAATAGGCAGAAGTTGAACAAACAACTCAAGGAGTAAACAGTGTAAAAAGCTCTTTTGACTTTCATGTATTTATATACTATATAAATTTTACATGCTATATATTTACAGTGGGGCAAGTGCTTTATCTTTAAAAAAAACAAAGATCAACTTAAGACATCTCTGAACAACACAGCTTGTATAAACCAGACAGATTATACAGATGAACTGTATTTAATACAGCTTCCCCACTCCATCTCCTGATGCAGGACCAGTGAATTATAAGTATCACAGTTTGATAGCATTTAATAATAAAAATAAAAATCACAGTATGAGTTTTTCTGTAACTTAAAGAGACAAAACAGACAACTGAGACCAATTAGACAAGTGACACTATAAAAAAAGTAACAAACATATGGAAAGGTATACAAATAGTTGTGGAGATACATTCAGAACTGTGTATGCTGAGTGGTATGTTTCACAAAGTTCTAAACCAGAACTTTCAGTAAGTTTTTCTTCAAAGCTTGAGTACAACTAAAATGTGAAGCAAATTAGTTTCTAGTGTCAGACATCAGAGAGGATTCTAGTTATTTGAGAGCTTGTGAAATTTTAAATAAGTTTTTAAATTAAACATACAGACTGTCAGTTGAGTTTTCTAGTCACTTGCACCAGAAGTCTAATGTGGAGTAACATTACATGAATAACACATAATCAACCTGAGTCTGTAATTAAGCAGCATTTGAGATGTTCTATTCCAGGGCATTATTTTCAGTGTGATATTTACAATGTTCAATACAATGTTACAATATTTACAATGTTCAGCAGTTGTAGAAAGTTTCCTTTTGGATTACGAGTAAATTTTAAAAAAAAGTCTCAAGGTAAAAACTAAAAAAAGTTCTTCCACGGTAAAATCCTGTACAGTATTCTGAAGCACCAATGATGAATTGAAGAATTAATTGTTCTGTTATAAATATAATTTAAATTGTAGAGATGGCTTCCATTAACACACTTTGAACCTGAAAGACAAGAGAAAGAAGTGTCATCTTGAAATGAAATTTCAACACAAATTCACATTCCAAGACCAGACTCTGAAAATTCAGTCTGATCTCTTAAATAACACAGACCACAGAACTTCCCCAAAATAATTCCTAGAGCACATTTTAGAAAAACATCCAATTTTGATTTAAAAGTTCAGTGATAGAGAATCCTCCATGATCCCTGGTAAAATGTTCCAGGAGTTACTATTATAGTTAAAAAAGTGCACCTTATTTCCAGTCAGAATTTGTCCAGTTTCAAAGACCAGCTCTTGGATCATATTATACCTATCATTGTCAGACTGAAGAGCCCACTATAAGGCTATGTCTATACAGCTTCCTTCTTCCGCAAAAGCTTATGCAAATGAAGTGCGGATTAGCATATTGCCATGCTTCATTTGCATAATTAATTAGAAGCTGATTTTGCTCAAGAGGTTTTTGTGCAAACCCCCCCCCGCACTTGCGCAAGAGCCGTACTTCCTCATTTTTTCCCAGGAAGAACAGCTCTTGCGCAAGAGGGGGTATTTGCACAAAAAGGTACTATGTAGACGGTGCCTTTCTGGTCAAAAAACTCTTGCACGAAAACGACTCCTAATTATGCAAATAAAGCGTGGTAATGTGCTAAGCTGCGCTTCATTTGCATAGGCTTTTGCAGACGCTGTATAGATATAGCCTAAATGTTTCCCATGGAGACAGACTGTAGGCAAGTCACCCACTAACCTACCCTTTAAATAACTGAGCTCAAACACTAGAAGGCATGTTTCTAGTCCTTTAATCATTCTCACGGCTCTTCTTTGAACCTTTTGCAATTTTTCAACATTCATGTTGACGTATGAGCACCAGGACTGCACCAAGTATTCCAGCAGTGGTTGTACCAGGTAAAAACCTCTTTACTATGTCGAGAATCCTGTTTTGGTTTCTTAATGACAGTTAAAACCTGAACCTGCAGGTGCTCCATATCATTTTAAACAGAAAGATTCCAAAACTGACCTGCAACCTACTCTATCCTCTACTTGTAAGGTTGAGTTTCACAGTATAGTGCCTACCTTAAACAGCAAATGGGTAATCTTAGGTAGGGATGTTAAATTTAGTTTAATCAACTAATTGAACAGTCAATGGAATTTGCATTGATTATTCGATTAGTCGATAAGGGCACCTCCACCTTTGAAATGTAGTGACAGCCCTGCTGGCTCTTGCTATATATCAAAGGTGGAAGCACTGTGGGGAGCGTGGGGCCACCAAGGGACTGCTTGAGACCCCGTTGGCTCCGTGCTCCCTGCACGCTTTGCTTTTGAAGTGTAGCAAAAGCCCTGCTCTCACTATATTTCAAAGACAGAAGCGTTGCCAGTTCCCCGCTGTGCCTCTGCCCCCTGCTCGGAGACGGTGCTGGGGAGAACTGACTTTTAAGCCAGCTCCCCCCCAGCACCAGCTCCTGCTGCTTCTGATAGAGGCATCAAGAGGGGGAAGCGACTAGTTGAGTCACTAGCTGGCTATCCAATAAGCATATGCTTATCAGATAGTCGACTAGTCACTTACATCTCTAATCCTAAGTAGGCAAACCTGGTTGGAATTTGGCCAATATACTCCTAACATTAATTGCCTAATATGGTCAGCTGTCCCCCCCAAAAATGACACCTCCAGCAGCTTGACAGGGCACTGGTTTAAAGGGGAAGAGAGAGATGCCACTCAAAGGCACAATTTCTATTTTATCTAGCAGCTGGATTTTTTTAAGCCTCTAGCTCAATCACTAGCCAGTTTCAGCCATCTAGTTTATGAAATCTGACAAGATCCTAACCAAGGATAATGGCTCCTTAAATTTCTGTTACTCTCGTCTTGTACTCGTGTACTTGTACCATCAGCTAATTAGCTCGATAGCTTGGTTTGATTTCCAGTCAGCTCCATATCTGAGATCTCAGAAAATGCTTGACGCTTTGTATTATCTCATATTTTCTACAGTCTAAATAAAGCCAACTGACTTCAAGTCTCACTTCCTCAGACTTAACAGGTTACTCTGCACAGCACTGTCATCACAACAGTATCCTCTTCCTTACTATACAGGGCAGTATTTAAAAGGATTTTTTTTGTTTATGCCTTGTTACTGTAACAACATTTCTGCTCTATACCACAATAATTCCAACACACAAAAGCAATGTGCTCAGTGATTTATTTAACACACACTTGCTTCCTTACCAGAGATTTTTCTTGTATCTACTGTACCAAGTTTGCCACCTGCTGGCCAACTCACATTCAGTAAAGAGAAAATCCTTTTAAAATCTGATTATAATTTTTCTTCTATGTTCTGCCTTCTATTTTCTTATCTAAAATAGGAAGATAGAGGCTTTGGAACAGCAAGGACTGCACCTACACTTTTCCCATTAAAAAGGCCACATTTCTCAATCTATGCTGGGAGATGCTTGTTAGTTCCTGGGTATAGGAAATACCACCTTTAAAAAGTGTCTGTGGTGCCTACCAGCGTGTATATACACAAGAGTTTTTCAAATTAATATAAAGAGCCATATTGCTATTGCTACTGCTTCACTTCCTTGGCAGGACAGACATGGCTTACTAGAATTTACATAGTAGCATGGAAATCTGCAGTTGATCAAATTCTCATGCCAAAGAAGAGAGGAAACGGTGGCTACTACCTGCATTTTAGGAACAGCCTCTGGATATCAAGATCTACAAATACTCTGCATCCAATATCCTCATTGAAATATTTCTGGATAGTGTGAGCCCCCCAAATACTTTTTCCATTACTAATAGTTTCTCCCTCTACAATTACCCTCCATCTCTTGTCCTGAAGTGACTTTTCAATGCAGAATGCTACTTTAAGGTTATGTCTACACTACAGACCTTACAGTGGCACAGCAAGGTCTCCCATGTAGCTGCTCTATATTGGCATGAGAACTCTCTTGCTAGCATAACTAAACCATCCCTGAGTGCTGACAGTGGTAACTGTCAGCAGGAGATGGTCTTCCACTGACTATGCTGTCCACTCCAGCACTTTTGTTGCTGAAGCTTGTTTATCAAAGGTGTTTTTACACACCCCGACCAACAAAAATGCTAGTGTAGACAAAGCCATAGTGCCCAGGTGGGGAATCTAGGGGGTCCCAAGCTAGTAGATTTTGTGCCCCCCCCCCAGGCTCTGGGGTGAGGCTAAAAATGAGGGGTTCAGTGTGTGGGAGGGGGCTGCCAGGAAGCAGGCTTGGAGTGTGGGGTCTGAGTGGGAGGGAGAGTGCAGGAGCAGGCTGGGAGGGGAGCCCTGAGCCTTGGGGGTTGGATCCAGGCAAGCAGGAGGCCACACCTGGCTCCTGGGCCTGAGGTTCCCCACCCCTGCCTTAGCGTAAGGCCTGTTTACCCGTAGCCCTAGAAACGGCTGCTTTTTTAAAACAAATGAAGAGTCGTTCCAACAGAAAGACTAGCAGATCACCATAATTTAAACCAAGTTTAAAGGAATTTCTTCTTGTGCGTTAATAATATAACAACTTTTGAAATATGGAATTTCACTTGTTACCTATCCCAGAATAACATTGCCAACAGTCTGCGTAATCGAGTCGGCAATATGTTACTAATTTTTCACCTCAGTTATATGCATTGTCAGTCCACTATTTGTTACCAACAGGGTCACCCTCACCAATTGCCAAGGACATAAAAGATACTGAGGATTGACAAATGCAACTTGCCTGTGGCTAGTGAGTTTTTTCTGCAAGGATTACTTTTCACTCACCTATAAGAGAGGAAAACAAATTGGCAAGATCACAATTGTTATAAAACCAGTATAATTCGGCTGCTACTTTACCCTGCTGCACTAGTGAAGAGAAAAAGCCCAAAATCCTGGGTAAGTACTATGATCAATTGGTGTATACATGGAAGTTGTAGCCTTGTTGGTTCCAGATTTCAAGGAGACAAGGGCTTTGTCTATACTTGCAGTTGACTGACAAAAAACTTGCCATTCATAGGTGCTTCCCCAACCCCTCCAAAGTTTTGCCACAAATGCAAGACTGAACACTGCTTTGTCGGCAAGAGCACTCTCCAGTCAACGAAACAAAAGCAGCTTGTGGGAGCTAGAAGTGTTTGGTCAGCAAAAGTGCTGACAAACAGTATTCATGTGTGCTTTTGGTGACAGGGCTGTGTTGATACAGCCTGGTCGCTATGATCTGCATAGTGTTAACACAGTCAAGGTGGGTGAGGTAATATTTTATTAGATTAACTTCTGTTAATGTGAGACAGGCTTTGGAACCATACAGAGCTCTTCAAGTCTGGGAAAGACACTTTGAGGCTTGGTCTACACTTAACAGTTTAAAGTGCTGCTGCAGCAGCATTTTAAAATGAAAGTGTGGCCATGGAACGAGTAACGAGTGCTGGGAAAGAGCTCTCTCTATGTAAACCACCTCCATGAGGGGAGCATCTAACAGCGTTCCTAGCACTGTAGCCTGGTTCACACTGGTGCTTTACAGCGCTGTAACTTGCTGCACTTGGGGCCCGTGGTTTCTAAACAGTTCTGAAGCATAGCTAACTAGACACACTTAACCGGCCAAATATCCACATTTGGCTAGCAGCTAGCATGTTGGACACCCCGAGTTGAGGGGTGCTGGTTTTTTCATACCCCTAAACCAGATAGTTACAAAGCTGTAAAGTACCAGTGTAGACTTGGCCTGAGTATCACAGCTCAATGCAAGGTAGAACAGATTGTTTAGCATAAATACAGAATGGCTTGTTATCACCTTTGCAGTCATAGGACAAAAAGAGGATGTTAGTGAGTAGCAAATTGTTGTGGTAAGCCAGGGATGGCCAAGTTTACTGATCCTCCCAGAGGCATAAAATAATTTTCAGAAGTTTGAGAGCAGGAAATGCCTACAGGGACTTACGGCTACTGCCCTGTGGCAAGGTGAAGAGGTTGAGGCTTGCACGTGGCAGAAGTCTTGTCAGGTGCCTTGCATCGGGCAAAAGCCAAGACCCACCATCCTACCGCTGGGCATGATGCCCCAAGCTCCATCCCTTGCCTTCCTCCAGGTATGGAAGGTAAAGAATGGAGGTAGGGGAACCCAGAGTCTATACTAACTGTAAAAGAGCCTTATGTTTAGCAATTGAGCTCAGTTTTTGAAAGTCACTCTTTTAAACTATACCAATCTACAGCAATACAAGTAAAAATAAACAACAGGCTTGGAAAATAATCTGCTACTATACATATCTGATGTATGGATATCTGGAACAATAAATTCCTCTGCTCTAACAGTGGTACTAAATAATTAGTTTATGAACATTTTCACAAGAAATAGTTATTTTAAACAAGACAATGTTATCAAGAACTTAATTTTTAAACAATGATAGCTATCTGGTGGTTCCTCACATCTACTACTGATGTCAAAAGGTTTAAAAAACAACAACCCTAATTCAAAACCATATATGTTGGTGTTAAATGAGAGCAGCTGGGGAGAGTCCAACATGGATTACATTTAGAATATAAATTAGGATTGTATTTTTTGTTCTATTTGGGAGATGTGAAATTGATCTCATGTTAATAAAAATAGGGGAGAGATTTGGATTGAATGTGCACGAAGGTAAAAAGCTTACAGCAGTTAATTACTATGCTCAAAATGAAACAATCACAGAAATTTAACATACCTTCCATCTGGTTTCATCTGTGTATGCAAAGTTGCCATCTGAAGATTTAATGACTGTGTATCCATGGTTCTTATGAAAAGGTAGGTCTGTAGCTGAAATAGAAAGTATTTCAATGTTAAAACCCACTTATCATAAACTAGCATTATTTTGATTATACTAAGAATGCTGATTTGTTAAACAAATCGTTACTGGGGCAATGTTTTTCTAATGAAGTGACTCATTGTTAATAATATGCTTTATTGCAATGCTACTAATCTGTATCTTGGGGTACATCTAAGACTACATTCGTCTGTCGAAAGAAGATATGTAAATTCAGAGCTAATTTGCATACAGTCGTCCGATCGCATTATCGGAAGGTTTTTTCCAAAGTGAAAGCAGTTTAGATGGGTTTTTTCCCCCCGAAAGATCCCCCCCCTTTTTCAAAACTGCTTTCACTTCGGAAAAAACCTCTTCCAGTAATGAGATTGGAAGATATGCAAATTAGCTCTGAATTTGCATTTCTCCTTCAGACAGATAAACATATCTATATGTACCCTGGAAGTCACATAGCATCATATCCAGTCTTGAGTACTGAAATTTTCTCTCCCTATTTCATTCCTTCCTAATATGTCCAAGATGCAGTTTCCAAATAATCTTCCTGATTTATCAGAATTACTGCCCTCTCTGAATTCCTTCACTGGTTCTCCAATTACCTTTCACAGTTCCACCCATGCCTACATTTCAAATTCTCCACCAACTAATTATCCCAGTTTCAATACCTTTTTAAACTCCTCCATCCATCTATATGTATTTGACCATGCCACCCCTCTGCATGAAAAACTCCTCCAATTCTAATTTGTCAAACTACTAGTTTATCTTCATACAAGTACCAAGAAAGTAAAAGTCCCATTGGACAGAGCACCGGACTAGGAATCAGATATGGATTCAAGTCCCAGCTGTGTGTCTGACTTGCTGCAAGGATCAGGGCAAATCATTTAACCTCTAGGCCTCAATTTTTCTAACTGCAATATGGTGATAATATCAATACAGATTTATGAAGTAATTTCAAATATTAAGATAAAGAGAATTAAGAGCCAAGCTACTTCTGCAAGGGCCTTTAATTGAGTTTATACAGTAATCAATAAAACAACTAATACATCCCCACAGGAAGGTTTCCAGTGTGTCCCGTCTTAAGTCTTCCTTAATTTATAACCGCATTGGAGCAGAGACCATGTGTGTGGTACACTCCTGACCATCTTTGTCCTTCTCCTTGCATGGTTTCTTGTACAGGTTGAATCTCTCTAGTCCAGCACCATACATGGTCCGGCATTATTTTAGCCAGCCAGATGTCCACTTATAAGTGTGGCCAAGATTCTCAGAGTCCCATAAAGTTTATTTACAGCCATACGCCCTGGCTCTGTTATTTAGCTCTATTTCACCCTAAATGTCTTCTAAGAGCCCACTATGCAGTGAAAATGTTGGTAATGCTGCTAGAAAATGTTGACTTCCCATGGTTTAGCAAATTCTCTGGTTTGGCACTGGTCAGGTCCTGAGGGTGCCAGACTAGAGAGGTTCAACCTGTATTTACAAACGAGTGGGTAAAAACTGTTTTGTTTTTTTTTAAAGTCAGATTTCTATATTAAATTAAATATGAAATTTACAACTTATATTAAGGCCTCAATTTACTATAATCTATTGAAATACTTTAAATAAAAATATGGTGTATCAATGAGCCCTCAAGTTTTAAATTATATACAGAACAAGAAAGAAAATATACTGCTTTTTAAATTATACAGTGAACCCTCGTTTATCGCGGTAGATAGGTTCCAAACCCGACCGCGATAGTTGAAAATCCGCGAAGTAGGGACATGTATATTTAACATGTATACAGTGAGCCCTCGCTACTTCGCGGTTCGACCATCGCGGATTCACGTATATACATAATGTAATGAAAAAAGTCCGCGAAGTCGTGAATCCGCGATGGTCGAACCGCGAAGTAGCGAGGGCTCACTGTATACAGAACAAGAAAGAAAATAGCTTTCTTTTGTGCCCAACACAAGCCCTGCAACTATGTATTGCATTAAATAGCTATTATTTTCAGTCTTTGCAATGGAGTGTTTCATATTTTTCCAAGTATCGGTACTTTCAGTTTCTGTTATGCAGAAAAGTTTTTACCTTAATTATTTTCAGTTTAGGTAGCACATGCAGAGAGAATATTTTCTTCATTTGAACTAGTTAATTGAAAATTGAGAAACTGAAAGGGAGCTGACAAAGCAAGAAAGCTTGTTTTTCTTGCCTACTCTATAAATAAAAGCCAGCTAGTAAAAGGACAAGATCTACTCATCATAACAACATGGACAACAGGCCAAATTTTCAAAGGTATTTAGGCCTAATGTTGCAGAAAGTGGCTTAATGGAATTTCAAGAGTACCTAAGCAGGTTGGGCATCCAACTCCCATTGAAATTAACAGACAATGAAATTAACAACAAATGGTCTGGTAGCACTTTATAGTGGGTCTGTACATCCTGAACTCATAACTCTGGTCATCTGAAGAAGTGGACTGTGTCCACGAAAGCTCATGATACCATCTCCATGTTTTGTTAGTCTATAAAGTGCTACCAGACCATTTGTTTTTTTTTTCCTGTGACAGACTAACTTGGCTACCCCCTGAAGCTAATGAAATTAATGGGCATTACAGTCCTACCTTGTCCTTATGAGCTTCTTAAAATCCCATGGAGCTCCCCCATCTGTATCTTTAGGTGCCTAAATCTAGTCCACAGTGACCAGTAATAGTTATTAACTTTAGTTAATATTTCCTGTGTCTCAGAAAATCAGTTCTTAGTGATTTTATATTTTTACATGTGAACTTTATATATCCAGCTCATTTACACTAGTTGTATTTAACAAAAAAATTAGTATATTTAATTCCACCCAAAAACAGTTTGATACAAAGAATATGGTAATGAGCTTTTTACCATTTTCTAACAAAAATTAAAAACCTGATATGTACATATTAAGCTATAGACTTTCTTAAATATGTATATATAAAGTGTATCCTGCTGTTTAGCAAAAGTATCGAAGTTAGTGTAAAATCCAACTGCAAATCAGTATGTTTTAATTGTTATACTAATCAAAGAGGCAGAACACCTTTATCTAGGAAAGTAACCAAAAAGTACAATTAACTAGGTCTTATACAACATTCATCAGTAGACTTCAAAGCACTTGACAAAAGATATAACCATCATTCTCCCCACTTTACAGATAAGGTATCCAAAGTCACCTAGCAGACCAGTGACTAAGGTGGGAATAGAACTCAGGACTCATAGGTCCAAGCCCAGTCACAAATGTGAAATAAGGTTAAAATATATAATGTGTCAAGGGTTCCTACTTGCTGATTTAAAACAAGATTAGAGTGGGCGATTTAAGTTATTTTTATTTAAATTATCCACTCTTATTTCCTTCATCTTTTTTATTTATGAGATTCACTAATTACAACATAGTGCTATCCATTCTCTTATGCCAGGGGTCACCAATGGTTCCAACATGGCCAGAGGAGTTATTACAGAGCAACGTAAGGCTTTCCTCCCACTTCCCTGCTCAGGAAAGAAGAGAGGAATTAGAATTTGATTTCCCACATGATAATTATAGGTAAACTAAGCCATCAATAGTTTTTTATATGACAAATGGATTTGTGCAGAGACTTTGTTGGTCAAGATTTACTGGATTACATAATTTCATGGACTTTCTTTCCCTCTTCCCCCCCCCCCCCCCCCCCGCGCAATAAGGGACATAAATTAGTATAAAAATATTAACTGTGCTCAGAAAAAAAAAGGCACAAATATTTAAATTAAGTAGGCTTGGCATAGGCAGAATAAACCATAGAAATACTGCTTTTCTTCCCCTCCCTAATTGATGCACCACAATTTCTTGTAACAAACATGCTGATGAAAGCAACTGCCTAAATGAAAAACCCAGGGTAAATAAACACACTAATCTGGTATATTTTATTTCACAAATATACTAAACTAAAGAAATTATCCAACATTGCTGAGTTGCTTGGTGTCTGGAAGATGTAATGTACTGTATGTGTTATATGTAGCACTTAAAAGGCTTTAAATGTTTTTTCTTTATTTGAAAAAATAGAAATCCCATTAATTTTTAATGGCCTCTTACCAATAAAGTCCTCAGATTTCTTTGTATGTTTCTTCTTTTTCTTCTTTTTTTTCTTATGTTTGTGGATGTCAGAATCAGAGCCAGCCCCAGAGATGTCTGAATCCTGGTGCAGTCTGAAAAACGCATACAAATTAATATGAAAACAAATCTGATACTTACACTATTGTTACAAACAGATTATAGTTTATTTATACAGATGTAACTTATTAACTTTTGAGGGAGTTAGACACATGCGTAAAAAAGAAAAATTTGGGCTACGTGTCCACTAAAACAGTGATGGGCCAGCTAGGCTAGTGAGTGGGCTGCATGAGTGGTCCTCCTTCACCTCATTGGGCCACAGACGGGAAAAAAGGGAGGTGGTGTTGCCTTACATATTAAAAATGTACACACTTGGACTGAGGTGGAGATGGACATGGGAGACGGAAGTGCTGAGAGACTCTGAGTTAGGCTAAAAGGGGTAAAAAACAAGGGTGATGTCATGCTAGGAGTCTACTACAGGCCACCTACCCAGGTGGAAGAGGCTTTTTTAAACAACTAACAAAATCATCCAAAGCCCAAGATTTGGTGGTGATGGGGGACTTCAACTATCCAGATATATGTTGGGAAAATAACACAGCGGGGCACAGACTATCCAATAAGTTCTTGGACTGCATTGGAGACAACTTTTTATTTCAGAAGGTTGAAAAAGCTACGGGGGGAGGGGAGGAGGAAGCTGTTCTAGATTTGATTTTAACAAATAGGGAGGAACTGGTTGAGAATTTGAAAGTGGAAGGCAGCTTGGGTTAAAGTGATCATGAAATCATAGAGTTCACAATTCTAAGGAAGGCAGATTTTGGTAAGCTCAGAGAGCTGATAGGTAAGGTCCCATGGGAATCAAGACTGAGGGGAAAAACAACTGAGGAGAGTTGGCAGTTTTTCAAAGGGACATTCTTAAGGGTCCAAAAAGCAAGGTATTCTGCCGCGTAGGAATTTGGAAAGAGAGAAAATATGGCAAAAGACCACGAGATCTTGCATGATCTAAAAATAAAAAAGAAGTCCTATAAAAAAATGGAAAGAAGGATAAATTATAAAGGATGAATATAGGCAAACAACACAGGAATGCAGGGGCAAGATTAAAAAGGCAAAGGCACAAAATGAGCTCAAACTAGCTACAGGAATAAAGGGAAACAAGAATTTTATAAATACATTAGAAGCAACAGGAAGACCAAGGAGAGGGTAGGCCCACTGCTCAATGAGGAGGGAGAAACAGTTAACAGGAAACTTGGAAATGGCAAAGATGCTTAATGACTTCTTTGTTTCAGTCTTCACCGAGAAATCTGATGACGGAATGCAATGCCTAACACAGTGAATGCTAGTGAAAACGCAGTAGGTTTAGAAGATAAAATAAAGAAAGAACAAGTTAAAAATCACTTAGAAAAGTTAGATGCCTGCAAGTCACCAGGGCCTGATGAAATGCATCCTAGAATACTCAAGGAGCAGATAGAGGAGGTACAGGCAGTCCCCGGGTTACGTACAAGATAGGGACTGTAGGTTTATTCTTAAGTTGAATCTGTATGTAAGTCGGAACTGGCGTCCAGATTCAGCCGCTGCTGAAACTGACCGCCAGGGGGCAGAGCAGCTAGGGTGCTGCTGGGTTGGTCCAGTGGCGCCCAGAGCGGCGCTACGGGACCAAT